CTTGCAGTTCTGAAGATTACTACAGATTCAGCTATGAATATATTATCCATGTGTATATTTGAAGTACTGTAATACTAACTAGGTCAATGACTGATTATGAGCCTTCACATCTGACAGACCTCAGCAGCAGGCACAGCTTTTTTGATTCTATATACTTTATAAAACTTAAGTCCAGTAATCACTTAACAGTAAATCAAACATGACTGCAAATCAATGCTTACTTTCAGCTTCCTCTAGCAAGATAACTCAGCTATCCAAACTTATGTACATAATGTATTATATGAGTTTTACCATTTGATAATTGCCTTTTTCAAAGAAAACCTGTCCACACTGTAGACTGGCAGTCCCTTTCATATCTTGCCATTAAAGGTAGACAGTGTTTAGTTATTAGAGTAGTATTCATGTAGGCTTATAATAGCAGATAGCACCAACATTTTATTTGAGATAGTTAAGTGGATTAATGACAACTTCACAGATATGTCCCCAAATCTGTAGCACCAAAGGCTTCCCTCTCATTGTTCTTGATGTAGTAGGACAGTGTTTGTGTAAAGGCCACGGGAGTACGTTTTGTTGGACATATTTACACCCAGTCAAGATGTTAAGGTGATAAAAATGTCAATTGTTCTTTACAAACTTACACATTGTATAGTATACAGAATAAATTGATCTACTTAGTTTTTATTGCAATGTGGAGACTTGTCTTGTCTTTACTGTGGTTTCCTAAAAGATACTGCATACTCCGGTATTCTCTATGGTAAATTTCTAAAACCTAAATCTTGCTACTCTGTATCATTAGAAATATGACTGGGCTTTGGTTTCTAGTATGCTAGACTACAGAATTACTTTAATGTAATCACATTTATATATATTTCAGTGCTTATTTTTCTAACAAGGCGATTAAAGCTTATTGTTTGAAATCTCCGTAACAAATGATTGGTTTGGTCCCTTGCACCGAGTGAAGGGGATATCTGGGAATTAGCTTGACGTATGGAAGTTTGCATAGGCTGTTGGCCTGAATATGGCAACATTTCCAAAAAGTCAAGATGCTGGAAAAAGTCCCAACTAATTTCATATTCAGACTGTGGCTTAGGTGGTGATCTTTGTGCAACCTCGAGATCCATGTGGTTTAATTACCCAACTAGCTCAGTCACCAAGGTCACAGTACCACCCTCTATACTCTGCATCTAACAAACCGAGGAGACAAATGTCCAGTTTAAGTAGCGTCATTCAGATATCATGCTGAGGTGGTGCAAAGCCTGCATTAACATTGCTCTTAGGAACCTGAAGTAACTTACCTGAATCTCTCTGTGGAGAGTGGCGCCAGGCAAAGACAGAACATTTAAATACAGGCTTATTGCCTAGATCCCTTTTCTAATTAGAGCTGAGGCAGGTATGGTTGCACAGACCTGCACTCAGAGTAGCTTTGCATTTAGTACCTATGCTCACAGAACTTGAGCAAGGCAAGATTGCAGTAATCTGTTTGGTGGCTGGAAGATTTCTGTGGACTTGGTTAGAATAGACTGAGGGAGCAAGCAGCATGATTGTTTTGTTTTCATAAAGTGGAATTTGGCTGAATGTGTGGTTTGATTATTTATTCCTGCTTTAGTAGAAGCAAGCCACACTCTTGCAGATGCATGTCTTTGGCTTTTTCATGTCGGTTTCTGGCATGTATTGATCCAGAGTAACTTGGGATCTTAAAACTTCCATGAATATTCAAAGCATTTATTCCCATTAAATATGTGTCTTGAAAATTGTTTCTGGAGTACTAGCACAGAGGCAGACAGCCTTGAGGTCAGCTGATGTGCTTGGAAAAAGCTTTAGTTTAGGGACAGATGACGGAATTGTCCGTGTCTTTCTCAGGCAGTACATCTTTATTACAATGAGGATGCTGACGGATACATGATCATGGTAAACACTGCATGTTTATAGCAGGCACAGAAGTCTGGTTGTGTACTACTTTGAAAATACTGACAAAGCCCCCAATTTCAGATGGATGTTTTTGACTTCAGTTTAAAATGGGAAGATGAAGTAGTTTTTGTTTCTGACGTTGTCTGAATTTAATAACGGATTTCAGTTGGGTTTAGTATTTTTACCTTATTGGAGAACAGTGTTGTGGCTCTTTCTAAAAGAGGAATATGGTTGGATAATCTGTCAACTTCCTTTGACAGTATTACAGAATAATAAAATAACTGTCACTGGCGTTTCTAGTACAGGGAGTCTCCACAGAGACTGGATTCAACCTCTGCTGGTACTCCTGTCTGTGTTAGTAGTGTAGGTTCTTTCCTTACTGGGCTTAAGGAAAAAAACAACAGAAATGGAAGCTAGGCTAATACATTGAAAAGAAAAATATGTATGTGATGTTCTGGAGCTGAGAAATCTTCCTAGTATAGGCATAGCTGAATCAAGGCAAGCTTTCTGCATGGAAATCTCATCATATAGGTTTTGTCTTGTCTTTTCTGTAAGGGCAGAAAACCTGAACGTAAATCCCAAGTGTTCCTGGGAGAATATGTGCGTAGTACATGATATTCTCTCTTCCTACATATCTCTTGCATTGCATTTCAGTTCAGTCAGTACTGGCTGAAAAAAGCCCTGTTTGTTTTCCGCACCTAAAACTTGCAGGCTTGGTCCTTGTAGTGTGAGAAGATAGGACAGGGTAGGATGAGCAATTTAGCATTCCTGAGGAATTTGTATTCCTCAGCTTTGTCTCTTTCCAGGGAAAGCCATTCGGAGTTAAACTCATTGTCAATGTTAAATATACAAATTCAACACATAAAACATCTCATATTCCTTATATTAGCACTATATATTATTTCTGTGCCTCTAATGACTTTCATTTTTTGTTTGGCCAACAGAGAACCCACTGCTCATTTGTGATACAATGTGATGACAGAATAGGAAGTCCTAATAGAGAAGAGAATTTTTCTGCCAGTTGAACAGATCATGGATATAAACAGACCACAGATGTAAGAAAAAAGATAGGACAGATGCTTTGTAGTTGCTTTTGGAAAAAACTACATAAACTAAATACATATAGGAACTACTTTCTATCTTTTGATTGGGTTCAAATTCAGTAAAAAATTCTGTGTGTAGACTGCATCATCTACATCAGCCACACACCCAGCTGGTGTACCCTGGGATATATGCTCTGAAGTCAAAAGCCATAAATGATCTTTTTAGCAAGATGCTGTGCAAGATATGAGATGAGGACATTTAAAATCTTGCTGGCAAATATTTGATGCGGGAGATGCCTCTTAAAGTAATTATTAAGTAGTCAATCTAGATACATTACAAACAGGTGGTTTCTTGGCAACTTTCGGTGCCCCCAATTCCTGTCCTTAATGACAGATTTCAAATCCTGGTTTATGCAAATTGTGTCAAATCATAGCATATTTTGGACTTGGATATCTATTTTTTGCTGGGGCTTATAATTACATTTGGCTCCTGAGCTCCATCTGTGAATGGCTGATACAGTAATCCACAGTCCAGGCAAATTCCTGAAATGGGCGTATTTGAATTCAGAATAGATACGATCCTGAGGAAAGTGTATTAAGTATCAGATAGGAAGGAGGACACAGAGGGGACGTTCAGGTCCCTTCTGAAACCAAAAATGAGTTTTCTGTGGTTCATGCATCCAGATTTTCTTAGATTAGGCCTGTAAAGGGGGATGACCACACTCTTAAATGAACCCCAAATTACTTGTGTTACACGTGAAAGATGACCGGTAGCTTTAGTACAGATCTCTCTGTTTTGCCATAGTGTTCTCATGAAGAGCAGCTATGCAAGCTTCTTAGCCCAAAACCTCACTCCTGACCTGGACAGCAATTCCCAGGAATTGGTTCTGGGCTTCTTGTAGGACTGAGAGCAAAAGTCCTGTGCATGGGA